AACAATGGGCGTAAGCACGGCAGAGTCGGTGATGATGACCCAGGACAGGGTATGGTTCAGATCTGTTGTTCACAGAGTCGCTAAGAGTCATCGTTGCCTTGATGGCACCTAACACCACCACCAATCCAGTCACTATCAGATAGTAAATGAAATCACATGAATAATTTACCTACTACTATCTTGTTGTCCAATGACTGATCCCTCCTGATCACATGTCCAAATTGTATGAGATGAAGTGTCAAAGTCCTTGCCTCTATGTTGCACCCTGGTTGCACTTTTGGAAGCTTGTTCTTTTGGTAGATCATGGCATATTCTGCACTCTCTTCTAACATCCCAATTCAAAAGTAGATTCTTTTATTTTTTTTTAATCATCCTTGTTCATTGTCCAGCTTACAGATGCATAGGAAGTAGTTGAAAAAGATGACGGATTGGATTGAGTAGACCTTAGTCTTTAAACTGACATCCTAAAAAAAGCCCCACAAAAACAAAAGACCCTAACCCTCAAACAACAACAAAATAAACAAAACCCTGCCGTCCTTCTTTAGCATTCTAGAGAGATTCTTGGTAGTAGATTTTTCCAATCTATCCTCTCTTTTGATTTCTTGATTGCTTTTATCAGGGCATTATGAGTTCGATTCCAGAAATTCCAGTACACCAATGACTCTGAAGGGGAATAGACCTGGTGATGTGCTATACAAAGATCATAGCCTAGGAAACTTATAGGATCACTTTGTTCTTTCCTTTAACATGGTTTTGATTCAGAATTTTATCCACAGTACACAGGTTTGTGGCGGAGCCTAAGAGTTTGCATTTCTCACCAGCTCCCATGTGTAGCTGATGGTGCTAGTTCATGTCCCCTCAAGAGAGAGTGTGTTCAAGGCTGTCACTTCGATGACTAAGGTGAGCTTTAAAGTGAGTAGTCCTAAAGTTACTTATGGCAACTGCAATCTGTAGATTTCACTTCCCAATACCTCCATGACATGCTAAGTCAATACTGAAGGGAAACTGTTTTCCCGAGAATCTCATCAGCATCTATTGCTCTAATGACCTTAAAAGCTAGTTAGTATATTGCAAATGAAACAGATTTCAATTAACCAGGATGAACCTAACTGTTCTGGTTCACTGAAGTTGCTTGTTAACAAAGTTAAGTTAAAACAAAGCAACTTTTTGTTAAATCTCAACACCTCAATTTAGTTGGTGCTGACTCATTGTTGATCCTCTAGTGGGCTTATGAAGCTGTAAATTGCACTTGAGGAGACTGCCTGTCTTTCTTCCTAAGAGCTGCTGGTGGATTTGAACTTCCAGAGAGGCATGCCATTTGAGCTAGCAGTTCGTCTCCCCAAGAATAAACTATTAAAACTTACTTATATTTATACTTCGTGAAAATATGAGCATATTTTCTGACCTCAGACATTCACTGAAATTGAAGATAATTGTGTGTCAGGAAATCAAAAGAATTATATTGGGAAAATCTGCTGTCAGGCACCTCTCTAGAGTACTGAGATGCAACAGTGCCAGTCTGGTGACTAAGGTGTGCCTGATCCAGGCCATGGTCTTTGCAATTACTTTCTATACAGCAGAGAGCCAGACAATGATTAAGGATGACAGAAGAAGAATGAATGCTTCTGAGTTGTGGTGCTAGAGAAGAATTTTGAACATACTCTGGGCCACCAAGAAAACAAATAGGTCTTTCACGGAGAGGGTGAGAACAAGTTTCTTCTTAGAGGCTAGGATTTTGAAGCTCTATCCCACATACTTTGGACACATGGCTGGGAAGGACTGGTCCTTGGAGAAAGACTTTAGCTTGGAAGATTGGAGGGACAGCTCAGGAGAGGAAGATCCTGGAAAAAACTAATTGATACAGTAACTGGGACAATGATTGGAGGGACAGCTCAGGAAAGGAAGACCCCGGAAAAAAGGAATTGATACCGTAACTGGGACAATGGTATTAGATGCGTTAGAGTCTGTTAGACTGGCTCAGGTCAGGGCAGGCTTCAGAGCTACTGTACATAGGATTGCCATGAGTCACAGGTGACTTGAGAGCACGTAGCAAAAACAACAACAACCAAAACAAGTCAATTTCTGCACCAAAAATTTGAGGCTAAGTTATCTTTAAAGGTCTGAGGATATCTTCATGATATTCTATATAAATATTATTTCATGTCTGATATCTTGTTTAATTTCACAGATATTGTCAAGGGTCACCTTTTTATCATCGTATTATTTTAAAGCATTTTATCATCATTGCATTATCAAAGTAACACTAACATAATTCAGTTTAATATGCTAATTTTAGACTTGACTTTACTTCAGGACTGATAGTGAATGACGAAAACAGAAATAAAACCCAGAGGTAAAAGATTATCTAGAGTTATATCTTTCTTCAAAATATTGCAGATTTATAAAGTATAGAATATTGATGTAAATATGAATGAGTGCACAGTTGTTGTTGTTGCTTGCTGTCAAGTCGAACATTACTCATAGCAACCCCATGAACAAAACGCCTGAAGCCCTTCCACAATCATCGCCATTTATCAAAGTTCACAGTTTCCAGAGGCATGTTGCTTGGGAAGTGGCTGCAAACACTGTCCACCATGGGTAACCATTATGGCATTTGACACCCCAAAAACACAAGGTTCAGCATCTCAGCAACGCAAACTTACTTCAGTACAGCATATAGACAGAAGAGTGCTATACCACTTAGGTGAATGTTCCTCCAAGATATAATAACAACTGACTTTTAAATTCATAGGCCCTCCCCAAGATCATGTTGACTCTAAACATGAGGCTTACATAAAAAGCAACCAATATATTCTGTTTTTTGTTGTTATGTGCCATTGAGTCAACTGTAACACACAATGACCCTATCTATGTACAGCAGCTCTAAACCCTTCCCTGTCCTGAGCCAGTCTTATTAATTCTGACACAATAACCCCCATTGCCACAGACAGCATATCAATCTACCTCATCTGGGGTCTTCCTCTCCTATGCTGTCCCCTTCACCCTTCTGAGCATGCTATCCTTCTCCAAGGACCTGTCTCTCCTGGCCACGAGCCCAAAGTACGTTAGACATGGCTTCAAAGTTCTAGACCTGAGAAATTACTTTGGAAGTAGATTTTTATTTCTTGTAATTCTGCTTAAATCTTGAGCACCATTTCTATTTATTTTTATCCCGATATTAAGACTTTTCTTGAATTTCATAGTAAATCTTTGCTTTTTTAGAAATAACGTCCAACTAATATAATGTGGGAGTAAAAAGATGGGTCATCTCCTCCTGGGCAATTAACTGCCTCTGACAATCTGCCGGAGGGTCAGCTATGGGTCAGTTCTGACTCTATGGTACATGATAACAACATAGTGTGGGAGGAAAGGAGGAAGCTAAGTATCTCCACTTTTGTTAAAATGTTTGGCTGGCTCTAAATGACGACATGGGTAGGCTTCTCATCCTTAGCACCATATTGTGGGAAGTAACTAAAAGCATTCATGATAAGCATGCTGCAATCTTGAAGGCACATGGATGGTATCCACTAGCTTCTCAGTGGGAGAAGTATGGGTGATCTCCCATCTGTTAACTGTCTCTGAAAACCCACTGGAGAGTCAGCTATGAGTCAGTCCTGACCGGAAGGCAAACAACAACAATGACATCATTATGGGTAAGAAATATTAGGCATCTTTTGATATAGACTAGTCAAAGGAGCTCTGGAGTCATGTCATGGCGTGTTAGAAGTTGCACTACTAATCCAAAGGTCAGAATTCAAGTCCACCAGCTGCTCTCTGGAGATACGTGGGCGGTAAACTCCCATAAAGATTTAAAGTCTCAGAAACTCAACTGAAGCATCACTATGAGTTGGAACTGACTTGATGACAGTATTTCGACTGTTTTGAAAATAGTAACGATTTCTGAACTAGCATTGTACATCTTAGATCATAAAATTGTAATAACCACAGGGGCTCTTTCTGTGTATATATACACTGTGCTGAACTCCTAGGCACATAGAAATAGTATTGAGCAGGATTTTTAAACAGGGTTCTTGATTGCTCTTGTTTTGTGGTTTCAAGTCAGATAGTTAGCAGTAGTTGAAATAGTTTATTTTCTCATGGTATAATATTTAGAGCATTCAAGAGCATGTTAAGTAAAATGAATGCATACACAGTGTCTACTTAAATGTAAATTTATTCATAATCAAGAGCAGAATATTTTCTATGGCATTTATCAAAGCAAATATCCTTATATAGGTATTACTATAAAATGAAGAGTGTGTTTAAAACAAATAGGGACAATCTCATGTTTATATTCAGTTATTTTCAGATGTGCTATTAAACTTAAAAAAGCATTATATTTCATAAAAAAACAAAAGGAACTACTGCATATAAATGCCACAGTAATATCAAGGACTTTAAAAAGACCTTTGTGTGAAAGTGCTATTTTGCATTAAAAGTGCTATTGTCTAGCTACAGAAATTCCTAAACTATGTTGATTCTGAATTTTGTTACGTGACTACTCTTTTGAAAAAGAAGTATAATGTAAACCGAAACGTTAGAACAATCAGAAATATTTGGAGGTCATTTAAATTTTCATTTAAAAGTAAAAGATCAAAATTTTCATGTAATGCATCCTTTTCTAAAAATTAACATGAAGTCCACAGGGAAATAGCTTTATTAAACCAAGCAGTTTAGAATGTCATCCACAATTATGATATTCTACAAATAAAAATAAAACTAGATAATTCCTGGTAATCCCAAATTACATTTAGGAAAATCTACTGACTCAGAGTGTTAATCTTTCATTTTGTGTAAAATAATACAAAGAGTTTACCTTAGGATGAGAAGTGAGATTTTAAAACAAATATCATCATTTGAAAGAATGTTTTGTTTTTACTTTTTAATTTTTTTGTTTGTTTTTTTAAGTGTGAGAGGAAAAGAAAACAATAAAGGGAAGGAGGGCACATGACGGAATTGCCGAGGACAAAGGAAGGCAAAAAGAGGTATAGTGAACTTACCTCCAGTTTGATGAGATATTTATTACCAGGGAGAAGGTATTGCAGCATGTGATCCTGAAAAAGTTCTGTACTGTTATAGATGACATCCCAAATTGTAAAATTATGCATGCTATTTGAAATATATAATACATAACGCTCCAGAATTCCATTCACTTTTCTTGGCTGTTGCCACCTGGGAATGAAGAAATAGAGCATTATCATCATCTTTCATTCAAGTCAAACTGAAATGTACAGGACTTTTTAAGGACACATAGGAGTTTGGATGTGTACCACTGTGAAACACATTCTAAAATACTCAGCAGTCATTCATGAAGAAAAACAAAAACCACAGAAAATCATTAAATTCTTATTTTGAATAGTATAAAGAAAAAAGGATATAATTTCCACCTATATTTGCCTATAATTTTAGTTATCTACTAAAACAGAAATAATCTCTAATAGCATCACTATTAAGCATTGGGCTGTTTACATAGTTCCTTTATAGTAGAATGATTTAGGCTTTTAAAAGATTACAACCAGAAATAGTCTCTGGAGACCTGTCCTCAATCATGTGGGATTGCTGTGAGTTATAATAGACTCAATGGTACCCAATCAAAACAATAATGATACAGAAATGCATATGAGCGAGGACTTGATTTTGAAATTAATGTGTAGAATGAAATTCGAGAGAACTAGAATTCATATTTTATTAAATGGAGAGAGTTAAAATAATGATATGATCTCAAACATCACAATAATGTAACATGGCATTGATATTTGTAATTATAGAATATTTATGTACGAGCTCTGGTGGCCTAGTAGTAAGGAGATACACTGCCAACTCAAAGCAAGTGGCTTCAATCCACCAATGGCTGCATAGGAGAAAGATGGGAGATTTCTCAATCTCTCTCTGTCTCTGTATGTAAATATATATATATATCTGTGATAGTCAAGTAAGATTTCATAAAAAAAGATGACATATAAACCAGAAACACAGATTTAACATACGGACTGGATCTGGATATACAGAAAAAAGAGTGGACAGCTTTACAGAGAATTGAATTCGAATGTTCAGTGGCAATAAGCAGGACAACAATTGATCAGACAAGGAATTGGTAAATTAAGAAATATATTGACTAGTAGGAAATCATGTTGGATAACTAATGTGAGATTGATAAATGGGCCTGATAAAGGCCAACAGGAGAGTTTAGATTTGGAAAATGAGATAAAAATAATCATGATGTTTTTCAGCTTGAATTAGTGACACAATCCAATCAAAATTTCTTTTACAGATGAGAAAGCTGAGAATGAGAGAAATGACTGAGTGAATATTAATTGGATCAAATGAAAAGCATCAATTTGTGATAAGGCAAACACTGAGAGAGAGGTTTCACATATTTTAGTTCAATATTATAATACACTTCATGTCCAGAAATGGGCACCGATTAGTAGTTTTAGAGATAACCTGAAAATGCCTATATTTGAAAGAGGAGTTTTTAAGAGTTCAATTGCAAAGGAACAAATAAGCCCTGTCTTAATTACACACACACACACACACACACACACACACACACACATTTCCGAGACTGTGTATCTTTTGGGGAGGTGACTGTCATCTTCATCACATGGAGCTAGTGATGGTTTGAATCACCAGCCTTTGGTAAACAACCAACATGTAGTATACTGTGCCACCAGAGAAATATATAGAATATAATCTCTCATTTAAAATCAACACATACAATATATCACATATTAGAAGCTCAAAGCAATCATGTAAGTTGTCAATTTTTCCTTTTATTGAAATTTGCACATACATAGCTCTGCCTGATTACATAGAGACAAAATGGAAATTAAGTTGGCAAGTGATAATCAAAGGTTCCCAGAACCACCAAACTAATCATTTCTATGCATTTAATCACAATAAAACTTATTTTACATCACAAACTTCTGATTGACTTCACTGTGATCTTCCTATGAACTAGCAAGTAAAAGAGACAACCTTTCTACTTACTGTATGTATATTGTTCTAGAATCCAAGACAGTCAGAATTGGCGGTTCCACATGTTCTGGAGGCAGCTGTGCTGTGTACAGAATGACCCTGGAACTGTTTGTGCATCCTGCATGTGTGCATGCACTCAGTAGAAACTGATGAGGTGTGAAGACCGCAAGATCTAAACAGTGGGTAGGAATGAAGTGGTGGGGGGGAGACAAGGATTCATTGGCCATCAAGCATTTTATTTACGCATTTTCATTCCTCTACATTTCTACTTGTTAGAATTCCTAAAGTGAAATTTAAAGCACAAATAAGTCAAAGGCAAGGAAAATCAATAACAATAGAATATGGGATGTTGTCTCCCTGAAATACACTGAGTTCATGGCTTCATAGACTAGTGGCAAAACATTTATTTTACCAATTTGATTATTTCCTGTATGTTTATGACCAGATAAATTATTTTCTGGAGTACAGTCTTAATTAAATAATTCTGTGAAAAAGAAATGAGAGATTTAAAGTTCTTTTTTCAGCACATTTGAAGACAACAGGAACTATTTTTGAAATGCAAACACACACCTTATAACAATGACTTTGAATTTGTTTTGTCAGAGTTCTTTATTTCCTTTTGTCCACCTGATCAACTGCTATTTACCTTCAAGTTGTCCAGACTCAGTGAAAATGCCAGGTTCTAAAGATATCCTTATAACACTCTTGGCTCATGACCCCTAGCATAGGCTGGGGCTATTATCCTTTCTTCTGACTATTGCTATGTTTTGCATACACATTTACCTTAGCATTTAAGGAACTCTGCTAATACTATAGTTAAGCCATTTGGCTGATAATCAGAATATCAGCAATTTGAGTCCACCAACTTCTGTATGAGAGAAAGATTAGGCATTTCATAAAGATTTACAGCTTTGCAAACCCTATTGAGCAGTTTTGTCCTGTAGTACAAGATCCCTATGAGTCAGAAATTATATAGTGAGTTACTTTGTTGTTGTTATGTGCCATCAAATCAAAACTATCCCATAATTAACTTTTTAGTGCATTTTCAGAGGCAGTAAACCACAAGGGAAGAGATTGCCCATCCTTCTCCTGTGGAGCAGCTGATGGATTCAAACATTGTGCCCTTGGGATTGCAGAACAGCTTTTTACCACTAAGCCACCAGAGCTCTGTATGTCATAATTTTTGCATTCAAGACTACTTCATTCCTTTGCCTGAAGAGTTAGAAGAAAGAAATTGCATGGTATCTTTAAATTCTTATGATCTAGCACAATTCCTGACAGTTTGTAGAATTCTAATATATTCATTTTTTAAAAAGTAATAATTAATGAGATGGTCTGGATATAGTTGAGCTAGGTATGAAATATGAGCAAGACAGGGGGAAAGACACTACACAGAAATAATATCTCCCTGTATTGAAATTCTTTTAACATTTTTATCTTTATAATATTCATTTGTGTTGATATATATGATTTTTAAATTCCCTGAACACTTGATTGATAAAAACAATAAGTAATTATTTCATAGAATGGATCTAACCAAAGTGCAGTAAACTTTATCAAAATCTATCATACTTTTATAATACTAAAAATAATTATTACTTTCTGTAATGTTTTTAAAATAATAATAACTTAAGCAATATATCTTCTTTAATATTACTAACCATGAATAATTATAATTTCACATTTAAAGATTAAGGAAATGCAATCTAACATCTCTGGCCCTTAACATATGCTCCGACTTAGAACTGAAATATACTTTCTCTTTCTTCATATACGGCTGACTTTTTCCTCATACTTCAGGTTGTCGCTCTCCTATGAGAGGTTCTCCAGGGGCATAAACTACACCCCATAAAACATTTACAAATAACATGCAAATGCACATAACCTGCATTGCACAAAAGAAGCTGATGGGCAAGAGGATATTGCAAAATTGTAATGGATACATTATGTACATAAAAATCAAATGTTTTGTTATTTTCCTTTTTTAGTACCTTATCAAAATCACTATGATAAATCCCTTGTTATTTATTTCACAACTTCCTAACCTTCCAAGAGAAAGTATACTCCATAAATACAGAGGAGTTCTCTATCATCTATAAGATACTATCCGATAGAGTTAGCATAGTGTCTAAATACATACTTTTACGTAAAGAATATATGAAAAGGGTAGAAGAGAGATAGCTCTATGTGCACCACTACATTCCCACTATTTCATGTAAAGTAATGTCCAAGATTCTCTAAGAACTCCTGAGTACACTTGTTTTTGGGAGATATAGTAGTGAGATAACAGAAATTTACCATTTATATTTCTAAAAAGGAAAGAAAGACAATATTGCACTTAAAGCAACAAGATAACTTAAGAAAATAGTGTTGATAAAGAGGTACAGTAAATATTAACAATGGTTATCTCAGAGTGGAATCATACTAATGATTTATTTATTGTTGTTGTGTATATATGCACATATAATTAATTGTAATGAAAGTTTACAGAGACTTAGGGCTTCCAGTCATTCATTGTGGCACTTTCATATATTTTGAAAAATTCCTCTTGATAGACATTTATCACATGGATAGAGAACAAAGTCAACAACAGTCAGTAATAATCCATTATCTAAGAGGTATATTACCAAGACGTAATTAATACATGCTATATTTTATTCTCTATGTCCATGGACTGCCAAGAAAACAAACAGATTCATCCGAGAGAGGGTTAAACCAGGCTGCTCCTTGGAGGCAAGGATTCTGGGACTTCGTCTGACATACTTTGGACATGTTGTAAGGAGAGACAGGTCCTTGGAGAGGGACATCATGCTGGGGGTAGAGTAGAGGGACAGCGCAGGAGGGGAAGACCCTCTATGAGGTGGGTTGATTCAGTGACTGGGGTTATCGGGATGGGTGTGTCAGAGGCAATGAGATTGGCACAGGATAGAGCACGGTTTAGGGCTGTTGTACATAGGGGCGCTATGAGTCTCAAACGACTCGATGGCACATAACAACAACAACAACAACATGGCATTATAAAGTCATAAATTTATTGCTCAAAATGGCTTTCCTACCCATTCACTTTGGCTTCACCATATGACTCGGCAAGAATTTGTCATAGAGTGTGTATAAACTAATTATTATGGGATTGGTCAGTTTCCCCCATCCAACTTAAATTGAACATGTTATCAGCAAAGGTGAGAATTCTCCTATCAGCAAGGAAGTGGAAGCACAGAGTAAAATGCATGTCCTTTGAGGACAGAGATTCCTGCACCAGTCAGACTGGGCTCTACATGAGAACATCTGTCGCAATGAAGAACCAGAGACCTTCAGTAGACAGACGTAGCCCTGCTAACCCATGGAACCAGAACCAGACATCATTTGCCTAAGCTTGCTGGAGGATTGAGGAAAAATACTATAGTGGGCAGGACTAAGAGAACTTCCTTTGTAAGGCCCATAACCATGACTATGGTTCTGGGAGATACATGTGGTCATTGCAACAGATTTCAGACCCTGTTATAAAGTAATATGAATGGTATTGGAATTGACAGAAGTAGGCGCAATAACTTGGAAGATGTATCTGACCTTATGGTAATTGGGTTTTACTATGAATGTTGCTGATGTGGACTGTTATCCTTTGTGAGGTTAATTGAGGTTATGCTCTGCTGTCCTCATACCACTTCCACTCTGGGTGTAGTCATCTTTCTCTTTTTCACAGGGGTTCAATGTTCTTTTGAATTTTCACACCTGTGTTAACTACTTCAACTTCATCAATCATGACTCATCTCTGAGAGTGTCTTCACTTTAACTTCCTCAACTATAATATTCTCAGAAAAGAAATATCTCGGGTGTATGTAGGTAATTAGAATTACAGAAAACTGCAAGATTTCAGAGCTACACTGTGACACAGAAGCAATGAAGATATTCTTACATCTGAAGGAACAATGTCTGTTGGGAAGATTTTAAAAAGAAGAGGAAACTGTGATCGCCACACTTTGAAAGTTATGGTAGATTGTAAGATGTTTGAAGCTTTAATGTAATTGAGGACAGGTAGGCAGATTTCCAAAAGTGACTGTAACCGATTTACTATTAAGTCGTATGGTAGATCTCAAGTCAGAAATTAAGTTGAGTTACAGATAATATCCATTACATTTTTGTCAGTTTGTTGAATAGTGGTAGCAATGTATTGATGTAATACTATGGCATTGATATTTCAGATACTTGCAGTCTCATGCATGATGTACAGGTTTCAGCTTAATTTTCAGATGAAGACGCAGAGTTGCAATTTCTCTATGACTTAAAAAAATGGAAACAATATGAATCACAATAAAGCATCGTCTGATGAGTTTGTGTTGGACTTAGCAGAAGAGATTCATTCCTGGAAGAAGGATGACATTTGATAAAGAACCAGCGAAAGTGAAGAAAACATCAGTCAAATAGATTGGTACAATGGCCACAAAGATGAAGTTAAACAAGTAAATGACTGTGAGAATGGTACAAGACTGGGTAACATTTTGTTCTATTGTACATATTGCCATAAGTTGACTTGACAGTATTTGTCGATCTTTTGTCTATCACCTATCAAAAATAAGTCTATAGCTATAAGTAGAGATATGTCTTTTAGACAGAAATTTATGAATTCAAACTCATTTGGCACCTATTCTATGCTATAATGAGCATACAATTAGAAATATTCAAGATCTTTAGAGAAACAATTTTTTTTTCATTTTTGAAGGGTATGTTAATTCACACAAAATTAAATTATTTGTTAAGCAAGATTCCTAGGTTGGGAAATCAGATTGCTCTCTGTGGCAGAATTTGAGAATTTTATGAAAAGAATAAACTCAAGAGCACAAAGAAAATTAGTATGATCAAACAGCTTTTTAGACTACTAACTCATATTTATACTTATGCTGTCCATCCCAAAGTGGAATATTCTAAATGTATTTCCATAAAAAGATGAAGTATCACTAGCGTTCTTTGAATAATGAGACATGAAAGAATAGGAAGAGAGAACTTAACATGATACATGGCAGAGGATGTTGCACAGGTGGCCTAATGGGGAAAAATCCTTAGTGGAATGGACAGAAGAGAGTGAAAAAAGAAAAGGGAAAATTAAACAGAAGAAGAGGTAAGTTATAATATGACTGCCTTTGATAGGGAAGTAGCGAAGCTATAAATGAAATGAGA